GTGGTACAGATGATTAGGTTAGGTGTGTTGCCCTTGGTTCCCCCCCCACCGAAGTCCGTGTTTTAAATATGTCCATCCTTCGGATAGTGCGCATTGCCCTCCTTGTACCTCCTGAGAGTGCTCAATAGGAAAATGGCAAACATATAAGTGACCACTGTAAAATATTTATTCAATTTTATACCATAAGTTCATTTTGAAGAAATATCTATAGTTCTATGAATTAAATCCTTTGAGAAAGTCAAATAATCTAAAGATGTCAAATTTTAATGATATAACTCAAAGTTCTATGATAGATCATGTAAGAATGGAAATTATCTTAGTAAGTAAATTACAAAAATGAATTACAGATTATAATTATTTTTAAAACTATTACACTGTAGAAGGGATTCTTAAATTTGGTGGGGCATTCAATTCTATGGCCTCTAACCCTAAGACTTTATGATTCTCAAGAGTGTCACCGAATACTCTAAAATACTAGAAAAGCATATGGGTACAAGTGTGAATAATACGTACCATTTCCTGTTATGTTGTAGTAAAGAAATAAACTTTGGAATAACCTAAAAAAAATTTAAATATTTCAGACTCTGGAAATTCACTCATTAATATGAATTTGAACTTGTGATAATATTAAAAGATTATTATCAAGAAATAGGCATATGGATAACTTCTAATTCTTTTCATTAAGAGTTCATGAAAAAACCTATTATAATATTTGATAAGTAAAAGAACTCTAAGATAGTTTGCTATTTCATAAAGACCAGTTACCTGAAGAAAAATTCAGAGAAAGTCTTCATCAAACAGTTGTTGTCACCATCACAAAGCTCACCTTTGTGTTGAGTTCATAAGGGTAGAAATCTTATCTTACTTACTGTTTTACATACAGCACCTACCCAACAAGTGCTTGTGAAATTTATAAAAAGTAAATTCTAGTTCTCTTAGATTCAAAAACTTAAAGTAGCTATTCATACCTGCAGATCATGACTTGTCCGTTTCTTCTGGACAAATAGATCAATGCAACCAGCTGGACAGTGAGAAAACCCAGTCTACAAACTTAGGCAGAGCAGCTAACAATCATCTTAAATTGGGCTTAATGATACAGAACCAAACACACAGGCACTTTCAGTCTCTTAACTACATTTCTTTATTCGCTACTTGTATTACTCTCTGGAAGACATTCAGGCTTACAGCAATAAAAATGAGTTGGGCTACAGTTAACCAGCTAACAGTAAGACAGTTTATGTATACGAGATTCCTGCATCGCTATCTAACTAGCTTAAACTTTCTATATATCCTGGCATTTTGGTCTGTCTGGAAACTGGGAGTCTTAAATGCAGCGTGACAGTAGTGGTGGAAGTATTTTTACAGTGCTTTAAAGTTCTAAAAAGTACGAGGTATTTTCACACATATCATCTCACTGGTCCTTCAAAATCATTCCTAAGTATTATCATCATCTCCCAATTTAAAGACTATGCCCAAAGGGCCTACGGTCATGCCAGCTGGTGAGTGTCAAGTTGAGACTTAAACTCAAGTCTTTAAACTCTAAGTCTGACGGTATTTTGCATGTAGCCTATACAGCATACATAATTATACATAATTACAATGTAAATTATTTTAGACAAATAACTAAAGAGAAATTATTTTAAATAATGAGAAGTTACAATCATTAAAAAACATTATGAATTCAGAAGTAAAGTTTACCTTTTCTGGATATTGATGTGGTCCATAAACATTACTGCTTCTTGTGATAACAACTGGAAACTTAAAAGAATATTCAACATTAAGGTTTTTGGAAAAGTCTAATAATAATGATTAAAGATAAACAGAGTTTGAAAATATGGGCATCTTTGCCTAAATAATTCTACACACCTTAAGGACAGAGCGAAGAGATTTTTTCTAATATAAGGTTCCTAAAAAGACAGGAGAGGATGGGATTCAGATAAAGGCAGAGGTTCCAAAAGGAAGAAGAGGAACATTCTTTTTACTGGGACAAGGGAGGATGGTTAGAGATGGAGGTGGTTTTGTAAGCCTGATAGCAGAACACTGAGTATTTAAGAGACCAACTCTAGAACTCTAAGTATGTTTAGACATTAAACTTGAAGTTGGTGCTCTCCATTGTACCAAGGCTTACAAACAAAGAGAGCTACCATGAAAGGGAAAAGGACCAATGCCATTAGAACACAAAAGGCGACAGAACTGGGAGGAATTCCCTGGCTTGCCTTTCTGACCCAGTCCCTAGTAATGCACAAAGATCACTGGGGAGCCAGATGCAGGGATTCGAGTTGATGACTCATATTGGGTAAGTAAGGCTCCGGCACTGACACTGTCAGGGTCACCAGGGGCAAGTCTACTTCCCATTCAGGAGGAGCCAAGACAGCTGAATCATGCAGAGAAGAGCACATGGCAGGAAAGGGAATCTGTCCTCCCTCTGTCTTCCTCCACTCATAGGATTCCAACAGGGCTTTCACTATAGCTGTAACACTCTACCTATTACTGAAATAGGAAAAAATATATATTCAAATTATTCCTTTGATGATAAACTGAATAGGAAGAGGCAGGTCCTACTTTGTCCACACAGTATAGAAAACCAGTTTTAAAAATTCCTTAACGTATAACTTTTCTCAATCTACGTCTTTTACTCTAAAAATGAAGTGTTGCTAAAGCTGACTTGGAGTTTTAACACCTAAGTCCAAAGGAAAATGTTTCAAGAGTTTCTGAAATCAGTTCTTACCTTATATCGTTCCCAGTAAGACTGTACAAAACATTCAGCAGCTGCTTTAGATGATGCATAAGGATTTGTAGGTTGTTTGGGTGAAGATTCATCAAATTCCTAATTTTTAAAATATATATTTAGAAATAAGTATTATGCATACTTTCTAAGTATAAAAACCAGAAAACATATTACCAACTTGGAATGTCTATTAAAAAAAAATTTCTTGAACCCTATGTGCCTGGCATTTTTCCAAGGACATGTAGTAACTTCTTTAATGCTCACTATGATTCCATGAGGCAGGCAGAGAACAACATGAGCAAAGGCCCTGAGACAGAAGTACGTCCAAAGGAACTTCAAGAAGTCTGGTATGAGAGAAGAGAAGTGGGAGATGTGGTCAGAGACCTAGAAGGCAGCCCAATGATGACATACCTTAAAAGCCTGTAAAAATAGTGACAGGCTTTTTGAGCTGAGTAATGCCATGATCTGAGTTATATTTTAAAAATCATTCTGGCCACTGCATCAGATCTGATGCAGAGTGGCAAAGGTGCCAGAAGAAGCTTACCTGATAAAAATTGCCGAGAGATTTGAAAATGGTTGTTTCTCAGAAGCAGGACTGGGAATCAGGGAGAGGTGGTCAGGTCTGATTTTTCTCATTATAAGTCTTTTCGAACTATTTTATCTTTTTCATTGTATGTATGTTTTGGTAAAATAAAAAAATTATTAAAAAGTAAAATAAATACAACAAAATGAGGCCAAGCAACGTGGTTCACACCAGTAATCCTAGCATTTTGGAGGCTGAGGCAGGAGGATTGCTTGAGGCCAGGAGTTCCAGACCAGCCTAAGCAAGAGCGAGACTCTGTCTCTACAAAAAAACAGTAAAATTAGCCAGGCGTGGTGGTGCACACCTGTAGTCCCAGCTACTCAGGAGGCTGAGGCAGGAGGATTGCTTAAGCCCAGGAGTTTGAGGTTGCAGTAAGCTATGATGATGCGGCCCCACTCAGTAGCTGGGGAGACAGAACAAGACCTTGTCTAAAAAAAAACCAAAAAACAAAAACAAAATGAGGTCACTGCAAATAATGGCTACAAAAATAGAGACTGGGAAATGGAGTCATCTTTTTTTGCATAAAAAGTGTAATATTTAGGAATGATTTAAAAGAGAATAAAGAATAGATTCCAGTTTTTATAATAATTTTACACTCACTCCTTGATGTTCCAATGTGTCTTCCTGACTAGAAGAGAAAAGTGAGCAGATTGTATGCTGCAGCCTAACTAACTTAGCTGTGGTCTGGGGTAATGACATTCATCATGTTCGTAAGACTGGGATAAAAAGGTGATATCTGCTAGTCTCTTGCAAAATTATAAATAAATCTGTAGTTGTTCCCTATTTGGGGTGGCATAATTTGATTTGAACAGAAGAGCCAATGGAGTAACATTCTGGAGAACTGTGGTATGTGGTAAGTAGATGAAATGCATATGTTCTAAGCTCACCTTATCAAGACTGCCTCCATACACTTCATCTGTGCTGACATACATAAATTTCTCCACTCTGGCTTCGTGAGCAGCACTTACCAAAACATGAGTGCCATAAACATTAACATAGGTAAACTCAAAGGCACGTACAAATGAAAGATCTAAAAAAAAAGAGTAAAAAGCTAAAACAATACCAGCAAGGGACAAAACAAATGCCAAAAGGATGAACTCAGGTTAAAGGAGTTATTTACTTCTCTTCATTCACCACAATTGCAACAGTTACAGAAATAACATACATGCAACATTGATATTTATGATTTCTTTAGATCTAAATTATACAGTACATGTAAATTCCTAGACCCCAGAACTCTACCAGTGCTAAATTTGTAGGAAATACTTTTTATTCTAAAAAGAAGTAAATAAGAATGATACATCTAAATTTAAAATGTCCTTAAATTTAAAAAAATTTTTAAACTTCTAGTTTCTGCTATTAGAGGACTTGGCTTTTCAGATCAACTTGTTATTGCTGAAAGCAATAAAAGCTGGATAAATTATTTAAAAATAAATTCACTTTAAAAGAATTGAACCTCTATAACCAGGGAATGGGGGGAACCTTTCTAATTATGACTCACAATCCAGAAGCAATTAAGGGAAGAGATTGACAAATCTGACTACATAAAAAGTCTTGCATGGGCCAGGCGCGGTGGCTCATGCCTGTAATCCTAGCTCTCTGGGAGGCAGAGGCAGGCGGATTGTTTGAGCTCAGGAGTTCGAAACCAGCCTGAGCAAGAGCGAGACCCCGTCTCTACTAAAATTAGAAAGAAATTAATTGGACAACTAAAAATATATAGAAAAAAATTAGCCGGGCATGGTGGCGCATGCCTGTAGTCCCAGCTACTCGAGAGGCTGAGGCAGGAGGATCGCTTGAGTCCAGGAGTTTGAGGTTGCTGTGAGCTAGGCTGACGCCACGGCACTCTAGCCCGGGCAACACAGTGAGACTCTGTCTCAAAAAAAAAAAAAAAAAAGTCTTGCATGGTTAACAAAAAAAAAAACTAAACTAAAAACAAAGTAAAAGACAAATGACATACTGGGAAAAATATTTGAACTTATTAGAAAGGATTAGTATCTTCAGTCTATAAAGAACTTACGAAATATAAATAAGAACAACTCTATAGTAAAATTGGTAGAGAATATAAACAAATAGTTTAAACAAAGAAATACAAATGGGTCCTTAAGCCTATTATGCTCAACCTCACTTATAGTAATATGGAAAACTCAAATTAAAAACTCGGAGATACTACCTCTTACTTATCAGACTGGCAAAATTTAAAATTTTCACAATACATTTGTTGGTGAGGCTACAAGGAAAAAGACACTTTGTACACAGGACCGAGAATGCAAAATGTTTATAACACCTAGAAAAGGAAATCTGGCAATATCTAGCCAAATTAATATGCATCTACCCTCTAACCCAGAATTACGGGCTGAACTGTGCTCACTCAAAATTCATGTTAAAGCCTATCCCCCATCCCAGTACCTCAGAACATAACTATATTTGGAGACAGGTCCTTTAAATGGGTGATGAAGTTAAAAGGAGGCCTTTAGGGTGGACCCTAATCCAATATATCTAGTGTCCTTATAACAAGAGTTGATTTCTACACAGAAAGAGAAACCAGGGTGTACACGCACAGAGAAAAGACCATGTGAAGACACAGCAAGAAGGTGGCCATCTATAAGTGAAGGAGAAAAGGCCTCAGAAGAAATCAACCCTGCTGAGACCTTGATCTTGAACTTCTATCCTCCAGAACTGTGAGAAAAGTAAAATAAATACAACAAAATGAGGCCAAG